GCCGTTGCCCCAGGGTGCGTCTGTGATAACCTCGCAGAGCGAGCTCGCGCGCCCAGGCCAGCCGGCCAGAGGATTGAGCGCCCAGCGCACGAGTCTTGGAAGCCGGAGGTAGCGTGCCTGCTGCACGCTGCCGAGGCAAGGCCGTGTCGGCATGCCCCTCGCGCAGCTTGTGTGCCCCACCGTCGGCTCCTGCCCGCCGCAGGGTTCCGCACTGCGGTGCCCGGTGGGGAGCTTCGACTGGCGCCGCTTCTTTCTGGCCTGGCCGGATCCATTCTGCATAGTCTGGCCAGAGGCTCGAGAAAAGCAGGCGCGGGCAGCCCCAGGTGTCGTGTCGCAGGAGGGGGAGACGGCGGAGGAGGAGGGGGGAGGAAGGAGGAGGCAGGAGGGCGGAGGGATGATGGTGATGGTGATGGTGATGCTGATGGTGATGATGGTGATGGTGGTGATGGTGATGGTGATGATGACGATGATGAGGATGATGATGGTGGTTGGGATGGTGATGGTGGTGATGGCGATGAGTGTGGTGATGGTGATTGTAATAGTGGTAATACTGATGACGATGATGAGGATGATGGAAGTGATGATTGTGGTGTTGATGACGGCGATGACGATCGGGAAGCTTATGACGATTAAGACCAGTACTGATGCGAGTATGGTGACAATGGTGATGAAGACGACGAGTATGATGATGGTGGTGATAATGTGGGCGACGATGACAAGGATCGTGAAAGTACGGATGATGATTATGCCGTCATGGCCAGTATTCTGGCAGCGATTGTGATCAGGGTCGCGATCATGATGGTGACGCCGACCATGTTGATGCTGATTGTGATGACGATGATGGTGATGATGGTGATGATGGTGATGGTAATGACGGTGGGGGTGGCGATGGTGATTACGATTGTGGTTTTTGTAGTGATGATGGCGATGATGACGATAATGAGGATGCTGATGATGATAACGATGGTGATTGTGATGATGATGGTGATGATGGTGGTGATTGTGATATTGATGGTGGTGGTGATGGTGATAGTGATGGTGATGATGGTGATGGTGATGATGGTGATGGTGATGGTGACGGTGGTGTTGATGGTGATGATGATGATTCTGATGATGATGGTGATTATGACGACGATGACCACGATAAGGATGATGCTGATGGTGATGATGATGATGATGGTGGTGAGGAGGATGCTGATGATGTCATTGGTGAGTGTGATGGTCATGGTGGTGATGGTGATTGTGATGGTGATGATGATGGTGGTGGTGATGGCGATGTTGATGATGGCGATGTCAATGGTGATGGTGATGTTGATGGTGATGGCGACGGTGATGATGGTGGTGATGGTGATGGTAATGGTGATTGTGATGGTGGTGGTGATGATGATGATGGTGATTGTGATGGCGACGGTGATGATGGTGGTGATGGTGATGGCGATGGTGATTGTGATGATGGTGATGGTGATGACGATGATGAGGAGGATGATGGTGGTGGTGATGGTGATGACGACGACGGTGATGGCCATCCAGATGCTTATGAGGATTAGGATCAATGTTGATGCGAGTATGGTGACAATGGCGATGAAGGCGGCGAGCATGATGATGGTGACGATAATGTGGACGATGATGACGACAATGATCGTGGAGATACGGATGGTGATTGCGCTGTAATGGTAGATATGACGACAGCGATTGTGATCATGATCGCGATGAAGATGGTAATGCCGTCCATGGTGATCGTGATGGTGGTGATGATGATGATGAGGATGATCATCATGATCAGGATCAGGATCAGGATCAGGAGCATGATGATATTGATGATGGTGTTGATGATGACGGTGATGATGATGATGGTGGTGGTGATGAGGATGCTTGCAGGATGATAGTGATGCTGATTTAAGGATGAGGGTGCATCGTTCCCCTTTTCTCCCCCCTTGGCACCAGCACGCCTCTGACTCCAGAACCGCCGTATTTTTTTTTGATTTTCCGATTCGCATCTGTTTCGGAGAGGCACCCCAAACAGTACGAACAAGTAGGGCGGATGTTCCCGCCTCAGAAAAGTAGAGCGGATCTTTCCGCAAAAGGTGTGGGGGAAGCAGCGATGGCAATATAAAACAGGCATTGGCATCAAAGGAGCTTGAAAAGTCGGGCGGTCATTTTCGCCCTACTTGCGAAATCGCCAAAGCACGGCGGACCCGGAGTCAGGGCCTGCATTTCCTGCTCTGGCAGCTGACCTTCCCGCCCTCCAGGGCACGGGCAGGGCAGCGTCCACCGTGACATCGATGCCCGCAGCCTACGGTCTACAGGAGGAGGAGGAGGAGGAGGAGGATGATGATGATGAGGAGGAGGGGGAGGAGAAAGAGGGGAAGGAGGAGGAATAGGTAACTGCTCACTAGGATGGACCGCTGGGCTGAGGAAGGATTTAGTCCTCGCCAGGCTTTCGAGGGCAGCGCCTGGCTAACGAGGATTGCAACCCTTTCCAGGGCTGGTTGCCGCGCTTGCCGCTGCCGCCGCCCTCTCTCCATGTCCGCGTCTTTTCGCCGTCCACCCTCAGCGATCGGGCTTCCATTCTCTGTCCTCAAGCTCGAACGAACGAACGAGGAAGAGGTGGAGAGTGAGAAGGAGAGAGGGAGAGAGAGAGAGAGGGAGGCAGAGAGGGAGAGAGAGAGAGAGAGGGAGGGAGAGAGAGAGAGAGGGAGACAGAGAGGGAGAGAGTGAGAGAGAGAGAGAGCGCATCACTTCGGACAGTGTCCCCGTCTCGGCCCCTGAGCCGGACGTGCTCAGCGGACCCGCCTCACAAAGCGGGAGGCGCCGCATGCTTAGGGGTGGTGGGATGACCTCCCCCTGGCGTGGAGAGAGCCCGTCCGCGCCACCGTACGCCGGGAGGCGTCGGCTTTAAGCGTGGGTTGGCATGCACGCCTCAGCGCCCTGCGAAGAGAGGCGTCGCCGTGGGGCGTCCTCCGCAGCGGACAAAAAATAGTAAGAGCTACGGAAAAGTTGCCAATCGTGCAGGCCTCAGAATAAAAGTTGCCAACAGTTCGTGCAGGCCTCAGAATTAAGGGTAGCACTAGGGTGACTCGTGCTACTGGTGGGCACCTATACGCGCCTGGTTGCTCGACTGGGGCGGTGCCCAACGGCAAGCGGGCGATCGGGCCTGATGAAGGGCGATCAAGGCGGTTTGTGTTCACTGCACGTGAGGGTGGAGCTGGTGCTCCCCGACGTGCTTGTCGGAACTCGCATCCTCCCCGCTGGGCCAATACGGCTCGTGGAAGTAGGACGAAGCTCGCATCCTACCTCCAGTGGGCCAATGCGGCTCATAGAAATGAGCCGATACACGCATCCCATCTCCAGTGGGCCAGTGCGGATCGTGGAAGTACTGGGCCATGGACCTGGGAGGACTCGGGGCAGAACTCCCACCCATGGTCGTCAGGGTCGAGCTGTTGCTCCTGGCTGTGCTGCTCACCGATTCGCGGCTGGTGCCAGTCATGGTGGTCAGCGACATGGCGCTCGACCTGGTGCCCCTCGACGTGCATATCGTCAGGGTGCCAGTGCAAATCGTGCAGCTCGACGGCGTGGTGCTCTCGGCAGTGCCTGTCCCGCTGGTGCACGTCCAGGCGATGGTGCGCCCGATCGTGCTGTTCAGCGATGTGCTGCTTGTACCCGCCGTGGTGGTCGGCGATGTGCTGCTCAGCGTCGAGATGCGAGTAGACAGGGGAGTAACTGTTTGCTTCTCTCGTGGTCGTCAGGGTCGAGCTGTTGTTCCTGAGCGTGCTGCTGACCGATTCGCGGCTGGTGCCAGTCATGGTGATTAGCGACGTGATGCTAACGGTTGAATGCGTCCCAGTCGTGGGCATCAGAGTCGGGCTGATATGTACTCTCGGTCATGCCGCTCGATGTTGGGATACTGTCACCCGTCGGAGTGCACAGCCGCGCGGTACTCGAGGCGGAACTCGTGGCAGTCGTGCTGCCAAGTGTAGAGGTGCTGGTCCCAAACGTGCTGCTCGGTGACGTGATGCTCGTTGCGCTGTCCGGTCCACTCTTAGATGTGAGGCTGCCGGTGTTGGACCCCATCGTGTTGCTCAGCGTC